ATAAAACAGATGAAGAAACTTCTTCCCTAAGACCAGCCTGCTCTCTTTGCAGGCTGGCTGTAGCAGAAGGACAATAAAAGTACAGTGGGTCCAGACAACAGTAACCAGGAGAGGATAACAGAGGAGTCACAGTAGCCACAAGACAAGCAAAAGGATCTTGCATAAGTTTGCCTAATACCCTGGAGATGCTAACTTAAAATACTGTCTATTATGATTTACTAAGTGCAACAGATTTGCTGGGAGAACCGAAATTGAGTTTGGAAAGATAGCAGCCTGTTCTGGAAGGACAAGTGATACTGTTCACGTACTTCAAGGACACAGACACTGGCTGCACGGTCCGGGGAGAGTGGAAAAATCAGACCTTCAAAAAGTCTTAGCAGTGCAGAGTAGCAGCTTTGGGAAAACACAAGGGCAAAGTGAAACATACGGAGGACAGTTTGCTGGGACAGGAACACTGCAGGCTTACTCTCAGGAGTAAGTCCTCAGTGTGGAGGACCAGAGAGAACACAAGCATAGGAAGTAATGGGGATGAGGGTGACTTATCCTAAAGGGAAAACAGAAATGCTGCTTTCTGAAAGGCAACTCACTGTAAGCTCTGAGCTTCAGTATGAATGTCACTTGGAAGGCTGAAATGCAGAACAAAAAAAAGCAATAACATATCTGCCAGCTTGTTCAAGAAGCAAGCCTTGAGCAAGCTCCCTTGCTGCAGAGGGAAAGGCAGGAGGAACAGGAAGGATCCCGTACAGCTGAATTACAAGGTCTTAGTGGAGTTCAGAAAGAGGAATTGACATCAGGTCAGATTACAACAGGCTAGAGCTTTAATACCCACCTCACAAGCAAAAAGAGACAAAGCTGAAAAGCTGAGACATTCAGATTTGGAGGAATAGTCAGGTCAACAAATTGTTCTAAGCCTATCAGTTGTGAGCAAGAGAGGCGGCATGTCCACTGCTCACAACTCCGAAGCTCCAAGGCACCATCAGCTCTCTTGGCTACGTCCTGAAGGTCACAAAGACCAAAGTAAGAAAAAAGCAGTAGCTGATGCAATACAGCAATTACAAGAGGATAAGGTTTAACCCTCAGCTAAGGCAAGAGGAGTACTTTTGTATGTGAAAGTTTTCCAATGAGATGTGCCTGATCAGCAAGTCAATTTCTGGGTTTTGGGTTCAGAGGAAGTCAGGCAGCCTTAAGTTCAGGATTCACACCAATCAAAAGAACTTGGGAGATGCAGTCAGAAAATAAATAAGAAACAACTGAGTCAGTGTGAACACAACATACCAGATCGCAGCAGTGCAGTCAGCACCACACGCAGAGAAGTTTCAGGAAGGCTTGAGGAGGTATGGCAGAACAGAGCCTGCTCATGAGCCCATGTCAACTTATGAGGGAGTAGGGACCTCACAATGGAACAAAAGAATCACAGAATCATTGAGATTGGAAAGGACTTCTTGACATCATCTGGTCTAAATCCCCTGCTCAAAGCACAGCCAAATACAACCAGTGGCCCAGGACCATGGCTGTTGTCTTTTGGCCATCTTCAAGGATGGAGACCTCACAACCTGTCTGGGCAATCTCTGCCAGTACTTGATCACTCACACAGTACTCTCACATAGTAGAGAAGTGCAGAGGGAATGGTGTTCCTGTCGGAGCCCATCACCTCTTGCCCTGTCATGAGGCATTACTGAGAAGCACTGTCTCACTCTCCTTCATTCACCTGCCATCAGGTATTTATACATAAAGATAAAATCCACTTGTGGCTTTTCTTCTCCAGGCTGAACAGAACCACCTCAACCTCTCTTTGATGGACCATTTTCTAGCACCTGTGGGACTTGTTTGCTTAGGTGATCCCCAACCATAGGATAGGTCTTCTTTGCTCAAGTCTTCTCCCTGGCCTTAGTGACTTTGAATTGCTGAAGGCTGGTCTTACTGGTAAAGACTGAAGCAAAGTTTTTCAGGCAATTTGTCAGCAATTCACCAGCACCATTCAGCAGCTAGTTGGCATTTTCCCTTGTCTTCCTTTTTCTGTCTATGCACTTATACAATCCTTTCTTGTCACCCTTCACATTTCATACCAGATTCAGCCTTGGCTTTTCTAATCCTAGCCCTGCAACACCAGACAGCAGCTCCTGGGTCACCCGCCTCTGGATGTCCTTCCTCTACGCCTCACTTTTATGCTGAGTTTAGTTAGGGGCCCCATACTCATCCATGCTGCCTTTGTTTGATTAATCTTCGTTCTATTCCTTCAACTTCAGCTCATGTGTAAACATTTGCCGCTTCTTCAGGCCTCCTGATGGGCATACTTTCACTGCCGCGAGCTGCATTGTCTAAAGCCAATGCCCAGCCAAATGATGGGATTCTTCTGATGTCATATGGATATTCAGCTCTCCAACACAGTAGATCTTTGATCAGCCAATTGTGGCATTTGTCTGTGTTCAATGTAAGCAGAGCAGATGGAAAAAACACAAAGGAAGGAGCAGTAGCTAAGTCTCGTTTCTTACCCTATTCATCTATTTAAAGCCTTGCTGCACAACACGATATGTTTCAACACCTGCAGTGATAAATAGTAACACAACCCAGGAACAAACACTTGGTCATGTTTATCCTCAAGTGTTCCTTGGTCACACTGCAGCCCACAATAGCATTCGTTAACAAGTGTTAGAACATAGTTACAAATTGCAGCAAACACAAATGCTCCGTCAGTGTTATTGCATATTTCATTAATGATGATCCTTCACATTTCAGCAACAGCCATTCAAGGATCTGAAAACATTTATAAGACTCCGAGCCAAGTGTCACGCTCCATGTGTGAGCCAGATGTTCACAACATCATTTTACAAATGAGAGAACGAAGTTCACAGGACTGACTCCAGACCCCTTTCCTCCCACTGAGCAATCCACTGCCCATCAACTAGTCATGGGGGAATTATCCAATTCATGGCAAGGCAGGATACCATTATGGTCTTTTTGTTTCCTTGCATTGTCTCTATTCCCCTGCTCCCCATCTTGTGTTTAGATTCTAGGCCTGGAGGGGTACCTCCGAATGTGCCCACTGCAGCACAACATGGCACAGAGATGCAATGTAGCATTACTCAGTGTGTCAGTGTAAGCAGGAGGGGCACCAGAAGCTGGCTAACAGAGAGTTCTTCAAGATCTCCAGCAGGTCTCTACACACATGAAGTCATGCTCCTTGCAGAGCAAACCTGTTTCATTTGCAGAAGCAGCAGAGCCAACTGAGTTCACCACGTTTCTCATTGCATCCTCTGTCCCCAAAGCACTCAGAGCTTGCACTTGTCAGGGCCCTGGTTCCTTTCAAAACCTTGCACTTCCAAGACCCAAAAGGAGAGACAAGAAAGCAGTTCTCACTTGGCAAGATGACCATAGGAATGTTCACGTCCTTCACCCCCACAAAGTCCTGGCTGAGCTGGATGAGAGGTTTCCTTTCACCTAGAGAAACATCTGTCCTTATGCAGCATCTCTCCCAAACTCCTCCTGCCGAACCACTCTCCCAGCTGTGTCACCGCCATCACAGTTGCTTTTCACAAGATGAGAAAAAAACTACACGCTGCTCCCTCTAGTGACAGCCTGAGAAGTCAGGCAGCCTGCCCTCACTCACAGCTGTGATGCAACACCTGGTTTTAGGCTCGACAGCATTTTCACACAGGACCCAATGAAGTTAACTCTCCTCCATTTGCAGGCTTCCTCTCACACCTCTGGCCAAACTGAACCTATCTGACCTGCTCTCGGAGTCTGCTGCTCTGCAAGAACAAGTCTCATCCAGCTCAAGAGCTGCTAACAGGATTTGTGGAGCTCTACCAATCCTCAGTTCAAATCTGGTCTGAGCTGAGAGTGACCTCAGGGTAAAAGCACCCGGCAGCACTGGTCACCTGAGCAGGGTCATCACAAGTCCACTCTGCAGTTGGCACTAATTGACCAAATAAAAGCAAGTACAAGAACCAAAAACAGCTACACAACAGAACAGCTGCAGCTCAGATGGGTATTACAGCTCCCACAGTCGTTCCAAGGACAACAGAAGGTTGTTGCTCCCAGGTCTAGCTAGAATCCAAAGTGAATATTACAGCTTTGTGGCTAAAAGCAAACTGCACTGGGCAAAGAAAACAAGAGAGGCTGAAGTTAACATAACCATTGCCTTTCTGCTTATTCTAAGCCATAAACTAGCACAGATGGAGACCCAAGGCTCCAGCTCAGCAGAAGAACCACGTACGGTGAGAACCACCTCACTTCTGCCCAGACTGATACAGCATAACAGCATGTGACACACCAGGACACCAGACGCCCCCGTGCAGTGCCAATGGGACAATACGACGCAGTGACTCCCGGCAGAACCCATGCGATGCGGTCACTTCCATCCAGACACCAGCAGCACGCTGCCTCCCACTGAGACCCACGCAGTGCAACGACTCCGAGCTCGGCAGGGCCAGGGCTCCAGCATAGATTTCTGTGCACCCCGTGGGAAGTACCCCATGGCAGAGGGCAGGTGCGACACACCAGACTCCAGCGGACAGGGCTGGAGTACTCCACACAGCCCCCCGGTCCCGTCCCCCTCCCTGTGCAGCGCTCGCAGTCCAGGAGACTGCGCTGGCAGACGCGGGGTGCAGGGCTAGGTCAGGCCATGTGGCTGGGGGCAGGGACACCATAGCAGGGCTCCCAGTGCCACCTAGCGGGGGACAGGGGACGCTCAGGGGTCACCCATCCCTGCACTGAGGGCTGCTGGGTGCAGCAGACCTGCCCCAGCCAGGCCAGCCTCTACCGCCCTGCACCTGCAGCACCTAGAAAACCTTCCAGCCGCTGTAATAACGTAATGTTTCAAGAAAGACCCCAAATTATTACATCTTCAGAGGCACACACTGGTCGATGCATTTCTTATCCATGCTGCTACCTGCAAACTATCCCTTATCTGTGTACGTTAACATATATATACAGTCAAGCACATATAAGAATGCAGAACAGACATGAGAGCCAAAGAAAACACTGGCACAGCAAGCAGCTTGTTTTACCACATAAGTTTTATTTTGTAGGATCTCTGCCCAGAAAACAAGATCAGAGGTTCTGGGAGGTAGAAATAGTAGCTGGGGCTATAAAGGTGCAGTACAGAGCTGTGTGAAGGCTTATACATGGGAAGGCTCAAAATAAATAACAAACACAATTTAAGATCTGCTGGGGGAGGGTGGGATTTGCAATCCTGGTGCACATGAACGCAATCTTTCCTTCCATCTCTCCACTCAGCAGGCGACAGTCAATCTCTTAAGCTGCATCTCCATTCATCTACAGATGTTTAATCACTTGTCATTTTCTTCCATTCCATCTGCATTGTCAGTCTCTTCTTTCCTGTTGTCCTGAAAACAATCCCTAGGATATTAAAGAGAAAACCATGACACCTTGTGGAACGGATGGAGGCTTCTCCAGATAAAGGCATCCTCATGAATAGCAGTGTGTTACCCAGCAGCTCTGCCCAACATAGTACAGCCCAGGCAGTTAAACTAATGAGGCCTAAGAAAACCCTTCAGATTGTCAGTAGATGCCCCAAGTTCATCTACTGATCAAATGCAGCCTCTCTTCGCTCAGAGGATCAGCTACCAGATTTTTTGTTGGCCTTAATCATGATTAAGCTGAGCATCTTTCCTGGGAGTTTTTCCAGAGAACTCAAATCCCTGCAAAAATTAAATCAGCTGCAAGATGCTCTGTTATCCTCATGACCCATCCTGAGATCAAGGCAATGTGTGGGACTAGAAAATCAAGCTCATCACACTCATGATCTTGGCTAGGCTGGATCCCAACTGAGAACTGCAGTAATGTGTGAGATGAGTCTAGAAATGGGGAGATAGGAGATACAATCTAAAAAGACGACCACTGAGCTCAAGGCAACAGGAGGGGAAGCACAACCAAAAAGTCCTGCCTGTCACTAAGAAGGCTCTTGGTACAAGGCAGGGCTTGGGTGAGCACATGGTCTCTTCATCCAGGAACCCAGCACTAAGCCAGGACAGCAGATAAGCATCTCAGGTGTGCTCAGAAAGGCCACACTCAGCCAGGCCCCTGATTCCTAGGAGAGCCCCTGCGCACCTACAGCAAAAAGCCTTCAAGATCCCAATGAAACACCAGCTGGTCCCCAAGCACTGAAACTGGAGGCTGTCCTCTTCCCATGAACTCACCTCCTCAGCTCTCACAAGTGCCAGCTGCTAGCCTGCTGCCTATGTCAAAAGCAGAATAATTTGAGATTGGAGAAGTCAAGCAGGCTACGGTGATCCAAGAACTGTCCTTTCTTCCTGGAGCAGCAAAGCCTAAAAGAAAGGAAAAAGATGGGGCCAAACATCAGTCTCAAGGGCTTCTCCAGCCAACTAGATCAGATAGTTGTTTTAAGAACACTTACATGAGAGCAAGAATGGCTTGAGAACTGCTCAGGAGAGCCTTGGCTAGGTTGCCTTCAGGTCAGCAAGCACACAGTGAGCAGCAGAAGCCGCTTCATAATCTTGGCTGTCAGATTTTGGTGGCAAAACTGAAAAATGTGGTAGAAGATATTTTCATTTTGCAAGTGTTGCCAGCCTGTTGGGACACGCCAGTGGTGATGAGCTGCAGAGAGGTAAGGCAGCAAGGAAAGCTGGGTCGGGGCACAGGGGGATGGCCAGGACGTGATCAGAAAGAAAAGAGGAGGCTGAAAGAGACGTGAACAGAGCACGGTGACACCAGTACTAGGGAAAAAGGGAAAAAGAGGACTAGAGAAAGGTGTTATTGGAGGGAGAGGATTATCAGCTCCTAGAAGAGGACAGGGAGAGTAAGACTCGTCAGACAGTGAACAGTTCAAACAGGATCACAGTAATCAGGACCTCGGTGGTGCATGGCCTTTCCCCAAGGCAGAAAGAATAACGTGGAATACATGAGGCCAGTTGGCCACCTGCATTACAAGCTGAGGCCAGCCCTGCTTGCCTCAGTGAAAAGCCCCAGGGACTGGCCTAACCTTGCTTCAATGTGACAGCAGATAGCTGCATAAAAAAGGCTTCCTCAGAAGGACAGTCATCATCAGGAGATGATGGTGGGTGCAGAGGTGGTACTCAGGGACATGGTTTAAGTGGGCGATACTGATGGTAGGCGGACAGTTGGACTAGATATCTCAGGGGTCTTTTCCAACCCTAGTGATTCTATGATTCTGTTCTATGATTCTAAATCCCAATGAAGTTATTAGCACCTGCCATCAGGTTCTAGATAGACTTTAAGGGGAATGAAACAGGTTACCCAAACATGACTCAAGAGGAGAGGGATTTTCCTTCCTGGCAGACAGTGGTTCTTCTTCTTGGGCCAGCAGGTTGGTCTAAATCCCAGGCCCTACACTGAAACAAGCTTCAGGTCTCAAACTGAACCTCTCCACGGAAAATGAGGCCTACTTGCCCAAGCAGCCCAGGGCAACGCTCATCAGGGAGGCAAGAGCCATGCTGGGATGTCCAGGAAGGAGGGCTTGAACACGTATCTCTGGAGGGCACTGGGGGCCACTGAGCTCCCTCTGTGCGTGCCTACGCTGCCCACAGCTCTGTTTTGCTTTCAGGTCCTCTCCATACCACAGGTACAGCTTTTTTGCCCATGGGCTCTTGTTTGAAGGAGATCAGTTCAGCCTCTAATGGTTGGCAGATCATGAACAACAGTTAGATCATGCTTGGCCTCCACACCTCTTTGGGATCATAGGAATCTGGCACTGCTGAAACCCCAGCAACTGCTGACAGTGTCTCAGAGCACAGCACGGGGCTCAGAGCAGAGCTGGGCAAAGATTACAGTGCAAGGTGCTCATCCCCAAGCACTGGGAACTTTGTTATGTAGTGTGGAAGTCAGAGACAGCTCCCAGGAAAAAGATGCCCTTGATAGCAATACTTCAGATCTGATCCCAACTGCTGAAGGCTGCTCCTCAGCACAGCCCTGTGCTGGAGGTCATAACTGCCTGCGAAGCATCACTGCGCTGTTCACGAGGGTCCAACTCATTGAGACTCCTGCCTTCCAACAGGGAGCGAGAAATCCCTACATAACACGTCCGTAAAGGATGGCAGGGTTTCTCAGAAAGCTTTTCAGGTAGAAGTTGCACATAAATATCTCCAAGTTTGATGTTCCCTTCTAACCAGCATGCTGAAATTAAGGAGTGTGCAAGGCAAGGCCATCCCACATTTCTCCCTGCAGTGCAGGGAATCTGCATACAGCAGCACCTGAGGCTGGTGTCCTCCAGGTCACATCTCCAGAGGATTCCAGTGGACAACTCTTAATTTATGCTTCCTACATAGTGTTCACCAGGCAAAATGCATTGATGCTGTTAGTTACAATACCTCCATAACTCTTCGCTCTTCAAACTGGAGAAGTGCTAATGTTTGACTGTGTCTCAGCACAAACATAGCTGACAGTATTTTATTCCTATTTGTTGAATGCTGGAGACCCACCACCGAGGCAGGCCCCAGCTCATCGCTTTCTGAGAACGAAGGGAAAGAAAAATAAACAGTTCAGCTTGAGCTGTATTCTTCTCAGCATCAGTCATTGCCTGTAAATTAATTGGATCTCTAAAATACACAAGAAACTAAGAAAAACAACAGCCACAAGCTAAGATGACTGCACTGATTTCAGAAAGCTTTTATCTCTTTGAAATGAATAAATAACTCTAATGTAACTACTTACTGCACTTCTTTATCAGCAGTCTGTGCATTAAACTCTCTTTCCAGACTGTGATACAGCTCTCAGTAAATGTGCTGATGGAAAACCACTGCCACAAAAAAAACCTTCCAAGTGCCTTCTGCACCATCTCTTCTTCTACAGCAAAGCTTTCTGCAAGCTTCACCATCTCTGCGTGCAGTCCATGGGTATTTCAGCCCATATCTCAGCACAGAAAGCACAAGGACGGCATTCTAAAGGTCAGACAAGATGTCAGAAACTGAGAGGATATTCCCTAAATCCCTCACACATCTTGATGTTGAAAAGAAACCCAGAGTGTTCAAATTCACCTTTCTCAGAAGCATGGCAGACTCACTTTGTAACCAATATGTGATGCTGGTCGTCTTTAGAATCTACCCACACAGTCAGAATCTAGTGATTCCGCTGTTACTGGCCTCTGACTGTAGGAAAATGCACACCATTAACAGGCTATTTCTGCACTAACGATCGGCCCTTTTCAGAGAAGGAAGCTGGCTGTTTCATATCGGGCAGCCCATATTGCCACCACTTAATCAGGCTGAGATTTAAGGAAGCCCGCTGTGAGATGACACAGATTGCTTCCTCCCTCGGGAGCTGGCAAGCACCGCGGTCAGTGTGCGACCGGCAACCTCTGCAAAACGAGCCCCGCTACGCCCAGCAGCTGCGTCCCGTGCTTCCTCTGCACTCAGTCCCTGCAGAGCTGGGCTGGCATCAAGATGTTCCACGTGCTCAGACATCCCACATGCTGACCCCTCTCTTTGTCCCTCAGGACAACTGCACAGGAAAAGTCAGCGATGACAGAGGGAATGTGTTCACACAACTGTTTAGCCTCTGATGTCAGCCCAGTAGACAGAGTCTTGTCTAGGTGTGGATGAAACCATCTGCTCAGTGTCTGGCAGCAGGAAGGCTGCTGCTCCCTTCTGCCTGCACCCAGGCAGTTCCCAGATGGGCTGTGGCAGGGCTGAAGCAAGGCAGTTCTGTCAGAGGAGGGCTGCCAGCAGGGAGGGGAAAGGAGGATGGAGCCCATTCCCCAGGCATTGAAACGGGGCACCAGGATCAGGACAGGCAGTTCCAGACAGCTGGGACCTTCTGACCCCACTCCTCCCAGCCCTCTGTAAAAGAACAAGCTGAGCTGATGTTGAGATGTGAAAATGAAGCATGCAGAACCGCCAGTCACACCTATCTTCAGACTACATCCCATCCTAGAGGGAGAGATAGGGCGTTCCAGGCTTCAGCCTCATTAGCCCTGTCACCCCATAACTCAGGGCATTGCCGGTCTGCCTGGCAGCTCCTGCCCTTGGACCACAGTCCCAAAGCTCAGCCTATGCCTGGGAAACACTTTGCCCAGATCAGAATTGTGATTACTTCTTGCCCAAAGCCTCTGCTAACAGGACAGATCATCAGGTTATACAAATGGTTTTGCACAAGCACTACAACTATGGCAATCCATGAGAATGTCTTCACCAGCTTCCCCTGCCCAGGGTCTGCTCCAGCATATGACACTGCATGCCAAAATGCTGCAGCTTGTTCCAGGCAAATGTGTAGGAACTTTGGGTACAGCTGTCCAGATGCCCTTCCACATCTGTTTTGCAGATTAATTGTCCCCTCAAACAGGAGTTTAGGGAGGGATCTTTCATCTGCAGGGAGATGTTGAATGGCATGCAAAACCTGCCAGCAGCTCTCACACAGCTGATTCCAGAGGTAAAGCACATCTGCTAAGATGCACTGCCTTTCCTGGTCCCTCCAGATATGTCCTCATCCCAGGGCACAACTCATCACTTCTCCCAGTCAGTCCGCATACTTCAACATCTCTTGCAATTCCCAGCACTTGTGTTCATGTATGAGGATACAGCCAGCTTTAAACAGGGTTCCTCGTGTCCTAGCAGCTTAAAGCACACGGGTGAAAGTGGGGATCAGGAGGGCTTCACGACTGGTCTGCAAATTGTGAAATGGAAGTGGTGGCTCTGTGGCAGAGCCCTTGCAAGCCTCCAGGCCTGCATCCAGACCCACTGCTGTTAGAACGTATTTGAGCACTGGCTAGACACTCATCAGCATCCCTGCATGACCTGTCTCTGTAGCCTGGCAATCAAAACACATAAAATCACTTTGCATAGCAGGTGCACAAGGAATCAAATGTAAGTTACACCAAGCCCTTGACAATGCTGCACTGTGAGACATACCCCTCACTGACCCCCTACTCCCAAAAAATACGCCCATGGAATATTCTTGGGAGCCACACATGGAGCAGAAATCAATTTAGAGTGAAAGTTTCAGCGTCTTTCCCTAAAGACACTGCTTGTGATTATTAAAAATATGTTTGGGCTGTGCACGTGGGTGGCTACACAGGCAAAACCACAGAGAGAACCTCTCCTCATTTCTGAATATCCCCTGATTTCCCTGTATCAACTGTGCTATTAGAAACAGAGGTAAGGGAATGCATTATTATTTCTAGATATGATTTTAACCCGAGAGTCCCTTTCAACACAAAGTGGTACTGTGATAGGCTGAGCACCTCTCTGCAGGTAGATTGCTCCGTACTTTGGAAGAGCAAGCTGCAGCTGATATGCATCGTGTCATGGTTGTCATGGTTGCCATTAATGACAGGTGCTGCCTATTAACCTTGATTAAATCACAGGTGACACTAATCACTTAATGTGTCCTTAATTAGGACCTGAGAAAGTTTTAGGCATAGAAAAAAACATGCAGCTGAACTTGAGTCACTAGCCTTCATCCTCTTTACCTTGATTTCCCCTTCACAGTTTTCCAAGCATCTGAGGAGAAGCCATGCCAGGCTCACACCAGTGGCAGCACAGAGCCTTGTGGTTTCCTCCCCACACCTGAGCTGCTGCCAGGTCTCTCCTGTCCCACTTTCCTGTGACTGGATATGGCTATGCAGGAGCAACAGCCTCAGAGACTCTGGGACTAATGCAGTTTTTGCAGTTTTCTAGGACAGCATGTTCCAGTTGTGAGCTCCAACAAGCATACCGAATGCAATGGAGGGCCAGCTCCTGCCCAGGAGCAGCCTGCAGCACCACCAAAGTCAGCATTAGCCCAGGCTCTGTCCTGACTACAGCAAAGCACTCTGTCTTCATGGCCCGCTGGCAGGCCTCAGGTCCTCCCAGGGATGCCCTCCTTCCTCCAGACTCTAAGGAATGGAAAATCTCTGTGGGCATCACCATGCAGAAGTCATCACATGAAAACCCTCCCACTCGCCTGGAGCTGCCATGGTTGCAGGCTCCTGCGGGCCACAGAGGGTGGGATGGATCTGCAGCAGCCTCAGCCTTCATGAACTGCACCAGGCAGCCTTGTGCAAAGAGATGGAGAGCTCTCCCATTTTGGTCATAGTTTAGATGGACCTTTCCCAGCACCCAGCATCTTCTGTGACGGGATTAGAAGAAAGGCATGGTTGGAGAAAAGCTCCTTCTGAGACACCACTCACCACTCCTGCATTCCTGGAAAATATACCTGCATTTGGGTTTCCTTTTTTGCTGGGTTACGAGTACTACCAGACAGTAAACAGTGGTCACTACAGAAGTGTTCCCCAAAGGCTCAACCTTTGCATCACCGAGCACCACAGGAGCCTTGCTGCTGCTATTAGCTGGAATATCCCAGAAGACAGACACAAAGATGCAGCAGAGTCAATAAATCGAACTGCATGAGGGCAACGTGTGGTTGCACTCCTATGCTGCTGAAGATTCCCTGACACTGTTTTACCTAGCAAGAAAAAAAATTTACAGTTCAAGAGCTCCTTCTCTCATAACCACCCTGTATCAGTAGCTGTGTTCGACAGCACAGATGCAGGCTGCTAATGGGCATCTGTGACAGAGAATAGCCCTGTAGCAACACAACAAGGAGTCATGGCAGGAGATGTCCACACTCACTGGGACAGGAGAGCCAGGTCTTCTCCTTGCCCAAGAGCACCGCACACCACATGCTGCAGACACTCAACAGAGCTCTTTGTGAGAGAGAAACGAAAACTGCCTATCTGAGCAGCACAATTCCTGCTGCAGTTTGTTTTACCTCCATCAAATTACGCATTAAACGATGAAGCAGTTCTAACAAAATGCAGGTCAGCCCAACCCTCACCTCTCCTCTGACAGCAGGAAAACAGCATCCAGCTACAGCTAGCAAAAGCTAGCAGTTCCATGGGCATCTGAATCCATACTCAGTAGAATGAGGCCTCAGGATCTGACAAGGCCAGTGACAAGTTGCTGTGTCACCTTGGAGCTTTGTTAGAGGCTGTCTGTGCCAGACATAAGATCTTCAGAGAAGCCTACATGGTGAATCAAAAGCACTTTTGCACTTGTTTTAGGTAAAAGATGTCCAGAAGTATGTTAGAGCAGCACTGCTTGCTTCGCCCATTCCTCCATAGTAGCCTTTGCTTCATGACCTTGAGGCAAGCCACTCTAAGACTCAGACTGCCGGGCTTTGCAGCCAAAGTTAAAAATGTTCTGCCTGTGTCTCTCTCTATTCCCAAGATCTCACACACTTTGTCCATGGAGATACAGCTGTGGAAAAAACACACACCTTATGGGATGCCCCAGGTTCAGATCTGCGTCACCACTGTTTCCCAAGCAGCTGGGGCACTGCCAGTCCACACAGTGCCTCTGTTGCTCCACAGGGCTCTGCAGCAGCAGCAATGGCAGCACAGGTGAAGACCTCACACACAGCCACCATCCACCAGACACCTGGCCTGTCCTCCTGCCAGCTCAAAGACCTGCTCAGCTAACTCATTGGCTGACCCTCTGCCATGATTATGTGGGGACTCATGTTGCTCCCCCACCACGTCTCCATCTTCTTCCCTGCAGTCCTCTGATTGGTGCAGCTTCACATGCGCTGTGACTGTCCTCTTCCTCCTGTCTTGTGATCTCCTCCCAAGGATGCTATCTGAAAAGCTGCAAGATGCAGAGCAGGAACCCTCCCAGCATTAAGTGTGCAACACAGGACCAGCTCCAGGCAAAGCTCCAGCAAGAACCTGGCTGAGTTTTCTCTGCCGGTGCCTTTGGGAATGGCAGCAATTGGATGTTTTTCACCTGACAGTAGATTCCTAGCCTTCCCCATTCTTATCTCTTATTGTAACCGAGGGAAACTATGCTAATGCTAGTGCTCAGCAGCGGGGATGTGGGACATGCACCCTACTGCTTCTGACAGCTAGCAGCTTGGCTATGCATTACACAGCTGGGGTAAAACCCTCTGGTACAGCCCAGCTGCATCCCAAATCCCCGCCTGCCAACACCACCGAGCCCTATGATTTCTGAGTGGGCAAGTCCTGCCAGACACCACGGGGAGCTCACAAACATCTCACTGACAGCCTGGGTGCCGAGTGGAAGGTGAAGGCAGGCTCTTCGCAGCAGTCTGAGGGCAGCTGGAGGAGCTGTCAGCACCCCACCCACCCGCCAGATCCCAAGCTCCTTTGGAGAAGCCTGCCTATGTTTTTCCAGGCACTGCTGCATCCTGGCATCCTTGAGGCTGTGAGATGAAACTGCTCCAGCAGCTCACCCTCCCCCGGGGTCCAGCAGGATGTCCTCCATAACCATTAGCAACTAGAGTCAACACCTGTGCCAATACCACTGTCATTCATCAGCCTGCACCTCTTGTCCCAGCGGGTCAAGGGGAACAGACAATGTCTTTGCCATTCAAAGTTCACAGCATGGTGGAGCAGAGCCTGGTTGTTATGCACGTGGCATCAGCACACTCAGCTAGCACTGAGGAGCCAGGTGATCTGCCAAGAGAGATGATGCTTGCAACAAAGTCTTGGGACAACAGATTCTGAGCTATCGGTGCAGGACGGTGGTCCCCAAAGCAGCCATACAACAGTTAAACAACTGGAAGCAAGGAGAAACCTCAGGTCAGACATGCAAACAGGGAGATTCTTTGGGTTCTCCATGTTGCTAACCCACAGTGCTAGACTCTCCCAGGTTGGGGCTGGATTTCAAGCACACTGGAAAGATAATAAATGCTGGAACATGTTTACTCACGTTCCAGTGGGATGCGCTTTGCTGGTTCACATTCTCTGTCTCATCTCTGTTACCACAAAATTTTTACAAGGAAACCAAGATTTGTGTGTCCCACAGCTCTGGGATCTGGGGCTTTAAGAGAAACCCTTGTGAGCAGCCCTGCTGCCAATGCTGTAATTCCTCAGGTGCATGCCCAGGCGACAAGCCCCTCCATACAGCCCAGTGCCCCTGACCCAGGCCATGCTTATTGTGATTTCCTCCACCACCATAAATCCCTTCTAATTCCCTCTAAACCGCTCCTTGTCTCCATCAAAGCATGGCGTGCTCCCTGCCTCACCCAGTGGGGATAAGCAGCTCTGTGACGCAGGAACCATAGGCAGAGCAAGGCTGGCCTTGCCTATGGGCAGCCGTCACCTTCATCTCTGTGTCCCTGCACTGATTTTGTGGCTAACCTCAGCCCTTCATGAGCTGGGAGTGGGGCTGTGACAGAGGCTGCCACAGCCCCAGCCTCCTCTGCTCTCTCCAGCACCAGCAGCTCTTTTCCCCTCATCATGCCATCAACCAGAACTCCCAGATCCCTTTCTGAGGGGCTGCTCTCCCCCAGTCTGTACACATATCCAGGGCCACCTGGGTTGTCTATGGTGCAGAATCTGGGCCTGAGTGCCAGGTGCACAACTCAGGTTGGAGGCCAGGATAAGCTGAAACTATGCAGAAAGCCTCAGATTTGGTGGTGGATGCACAAAGCCCAAATCCTGGGTTAGAGCCAGGAGCACCCAACTGCACCAAAAGGGTCACCAGTGACAGCTGGAGGAAGGCACCCACACCTCAGGAGTGGTACAGAAGTGGGGGAGTGCTGGCCCTGATCCTACACATATGTGACACATCTATTAATCAAGCGCAGCCATGCCTGTGCCGTGCTGCACACCCAGCATGGCTGCCCTGCACCCCCTTGGCCACAGGACAGACTCAGCAGCTCATTGCAGTGCAGGAGCCTACAGGCAGCACCCACTTGACACGGGCAATCATACCACCTGCAGATCTGTGTGCCAGACTAACAATGCAGAGAAAAGTTCTCATGAGAATGTCTTTTAGGAATAGAGTTGTTCTCTTACAAGAAAATTGTATCCTAGCTCAAATGACCAAAGGGAGAGCTTCTCACCAGGGATGGGATCTGACCTACTCCATAGGAGAAACCCAGCCAGGCTATGCCTGACAATGTGCAAATGTGGGCTCGCCCAGCACCTGAAGGGATGTTAGATTTACTTGCTATCTGTGTTCCTCTTCTTATGCTGTCTTATTAAATAAGCTGTTATCAAACCAGTTGCAGTTCTTCATGAGACTCAGAAAGGGTCCTCAACTGGCCCAAGCAGGTCCCAGATGAGAGTGGAGTTACGAGGGATCAGAGAGGAGAGGAACAGCTGCATCCACCTACAGCTCCCCTACAATGCTTTAAGGCTGTTAAGTCTTGTCCACAGGCTGCAGCAGAGACCTAGCCATATCCCACTTTGCATTATAGATGTCCACTGACAGTGGTCAGGGCTTTCCCTGCTGCAGTAAATACAGCCCTAAAAGGCTCCAGAATTAGCCTTTCTCTCCTCTTGAGAGCTCAGAAAAACAAAGCAGCTGCACATTATTGACCAGAAAACCTGAAAATAAAAATTAAAAAAATAGAACCTTACTCTATCAGACTTTCTGATTGAGACTGCAGAGGAGAGAAGGAGGGTCCAGTGGAAATCTACAGCAAAGAAGTAGTGATCTCAGGCTCCCCATGCTTATGAGGCCAGTGCTGCATCACTGGTCCTGACTGTAACTAAGAGGCCTGAACCTTCCCAGAAAGATCGATCTGAGACCTAAATGACTAAAATCCTGCCTGCTACCTGGCAAGGGGCTCATGTGCTGAGTGAACAGGAGCAGATGTCATGCAAAAGGTGAGGCAGGTCAGCAGGAGATGCAGGGATGACCTGGAATTCTTCCACACCTCAGTTCCTTTCCAACTCTGGGGTGAAAGTTCCCTGGGATGGACACGCTGGGGTGACCTGCAGTGGGTCACTGAGAAAGGAGAGGTACTGCAGAGAACCTCAGACCAGCACACAGTCAGAAAGGAGGGTGCTTTGTAGCTTTGCAGACCTAAAATGATGCTCCAGCTCCTTCCTTTTCTCTCCATGACAGTGTGGGACTCAGGATTGCATTGGGGCGTTTGCTGTAACGTGTTCAGCTCTAGCAGTTCAAGCTAGAGCTCACCTCAGCCATCTGCCTAATTTTTCTGTAATTTAGTCCGACAACTCGTGGTAACTTTAAGGACCTTGTGCCTGAGCATGTTGCTGCTCACAGATCTCAGCAGTCACAACCACTCTGCTGACAAGCAGCCCCGGCTCCCGAAGCGTCTGTCATCTTATTAGCAGAGCCTCCACTTGGGATTTATTTTCCATCCAGAATTTAAGCTGAATTTGTGTATTAACTAAAGACTATTAGTGCCAAAAATAAGTGGAATGCCACTTGCTCAGCAACACAGGCCTTACAAGAGACCACGTGGCACAGCCAGCACACCCAATCGCAACCCCAGAGAGGCTTTTTATAGACACCCACGTCTGATGGAGCGCGAGTGATGCTTGGCTTGCTGCAAGCTTTGCTCTGCAAGCATCCAATTGCAGGGGGAGGGTGGGGAGTATCCCCCCCATCCATGGGCAGGGGGCATGAGTCCCTCCTGCTCCTTGAAAGCTGGATAAAGAGCCAGGTGGGACTTGTTTTAAGGAAAGTTAGCAGCAGAGCTCCCCCATTTCCCTGCCACAAACACATGTCCCTGGCATGCAGCCCCTGATACAAGAAAAGCACACTGCTGAGCTTCTAAGTGCAATATCTCAACACCGAGAGTCCTCCACTTCCCTCTGAACAAGGCTGCTGAAGCAAAAAAGGTCACCCAGCACTGTTCAGCTCCAGCTCACAGTGGCTTCTCTCTTTCTCCCTTTCTCCCCAGTGTGCTTTCCTTTGTTTAGGTCCCCTGCACTGAGCAGGCTCAGCTGCCAGCAGTGACCCTGCTGTGACTGAAGGCTTCTCCGTGGACCCTGAGCAACCTCTGTTGCGAGGGACACAAAACCCCAGAAGCAGCAGCACTGCCATTGCCAGCAGTCCCACTGAGCCCACACTGCACAAGCTGGTGCACAAAGGGTCACTGGCACTGGGGGAAAGTTCTCACGTACAACACAACCAGCCATTGGCCTGGCATGATCTTCCAGTGCACCCTTCCAGTGCACCTTGCTGCAGGCTTGGTGTTTGCTCTCATCTGGAGAGAGCAAACATGCAAGGCAGCATGTCCACCCTGCAGCCACCTGGCAGCTGCTCTCTGTCCTCTCCCTGCATCACTGGCCTGCACAGGAAGACAGACAGGGAACAGCAGGACTGCCAGCATCAAGCCCAGCACCAGGCCTCTCCCGACACAGCAACTGTGAGATACAATCCAGTTTGAAAATAGCAAAGAGCTGTTCCTCACACTATTCCAGCCCCCTTTTCTATGGGGAGAGTCAAGACCACATCACAGTGCCCAGCAGAACCCCAGCTCTGCTTCCCACAGCCACTGAGAGCACCTGAAAAGCAGAAGTCCTGGCAGTGCCTGGGATGGGCTGCAGGTAGCAACCCAGAGAAGCAAAGTCAGGCCATCTGTGATACAGGAGAACCTGGGGCTGGGCTTACTGGGACTTTGGTCTGACTCTTGGAGTGGCGGGAGGATGCTAAAAGAGGCTCCTGGGCTCCTACCTGTCCTAGCTGCCCCAGGGAAGGACAGACGGCCTCAGGAGGGAGGGACAAGACCTATGGGGAGCAGGAGAGGAGAGAGCAAGCAGTGAGCTTATCATGGGTGACAGAACCCTCGAGGACTCAGTTACATGGCTGCACAAGAGCCCATGCATATGTCCTCATGCACCATTCTGACAGCACTGGAGCTAACTCATGAAGCTGAACGTGAAATAGGGAACACAGAGCCAGAGCCTGAGGTCAGAGTGTCATGCTTAGGTACAGCTCTCATCTGCACCCTGGAGGCAGACACAAGGCTGCTCGACTCCAGTGTTCCTCTTTAATGGGGAAACCTCCACTGAATTCACCAGCAGGGAGATGGGAAAAAGAAGTCAGAGTGCAGACATCTGCCTGCTTGGCCAAGGGTTTGTGGCACCCTGTAACACGGCATTAACACACAACCCCGAACCCCTGGGCAAACCAGGCCAGTCCACCTACCTACTGAGGCTCCAAGCCTTCAACATCCAGCAAGTGAGAATCACATGGGCAATTTGTGGTCAGTCAAGGACTTGACTGACCACAAAGAATCAGAGTCAAGGATGGCAGGGACCTCTGAGTCCATCTGCTCCAATGCCCACTAAAGCAGGGACACCCAGAGCAAGTGCCCCAGGCCACATCCTGGTGGCTTTTGAAGTAGGAGACTCCACATTTAGTGCCACCGGACAACCTCCCATTCGTACTTATCCAGAAAGTCAATTCAAGGAAATCTCCAAGAACAGGTTTGAACAACCAAAAAAATCACTGAAACACTTTCACATTTTGAAACAGAGTGCAGCCTCAGAGAACACTGCAGAAAAAGGAATGAAAGTCATTGTTAAAAACATGTTAGGGTTTTCTTAGCTCATCTGCAATTATTGCTCTAAAAGCTGGGGATGTGTGACAGAGAAGAGAGGTGTGGGAGGGAGAAGAGGAGAAGGGGAAAGGAGAAAGACAACAGCAGCATGGAAGGAAATTCAGCACTGCCAAGTGAAAGCCACAGGCAGAATTTATTCCCTTGCAGAAGGGTTTCCCATGTCATTCGTCACACAGAGGAGAAAAAAAGATTATTTTGAAGAACATCAATCATGAAAGTAAGACTTTGGGGAGAGGTTTTTCTGTCAGATACTGCAGCCAGGAAGTTACCCTCATGTGTGCCATTCCCATACTGCACAAAATGAGTTCAGTCCTCTATACAACCACTCCCCATGAAATCCCTGTTACCAGCCTGACTTACTGGAAGGTGTCTGCTACAGCAAAGACCCCCACACCTCCAAGTCCCACTTCTGGGCAGGTTTCTGCCCCAGGGACAGGGATGTTTCTTGCAGGCTTCAGGCATACCTCTTCCGTCCACCGTCTCCTGGGGCTCCCTGACACTGCAGAGTTGCCGGGAGGGAAATGAACAAGTGAGAGGGGTGGGAAACTCCCTGACAACAAGGTGACAGAAAGGGGCACTGAATTATGGGAAAGCTGATGGGACCCTCACTGAGCCCACCTTACACTGCAGCACCCACAGCCACACCAGTGCCAGGGGCAAAGCAGAGTAGCAGCTCTCTCCCTCCAGCTGCAGAGCTGCTCACAGCCACCTCCAGCCTACCACAACCACTCTTCAGGCTGGAAGGTTTCAGAAGGTCACTGTTTCCCAACAGCACCATCACATCTGCCTATCTGCCATCTTGAAGCCAGAAATCACTTCATTTACCTCTGATCTGGGAGTTACGAGGCCCTCTCCTGGAGTTCTAACATCCAGATCTGAGACTTGATGCTCTCAGCAGACCATCAGCCGGTTTCAAAGCTCACTGTGGATAGGTATTTTCTCTCCTCCTTGCTCAGAGAACCATCTGGAGCCTCATTCCTACACTGGCCACACTTCTATTCACAGTTACCAGTTTGATTACAAGGATGGTATGTGCTTTCTTGGCAAATTCAGCTGTTTTCTCTACAGGTGTGTCAACACCACAGGCAGGATTTCTTCCGCATCCCTGCACCTGTGCTGTCCTGGTGTGATGCTCTGTGCTCTGTGCTTTGCTCTGATGACACAGAGCAGAAGGCACTGCAGCCCATGGTGCTCAGAAGGAAGGAGAGGCTAGAGACCGTGTCTGACCCGAGGCAGGAGGGCTCTGGATAAGCTGTCTCAGCACAGCCAGCAAGTGCCTTTTCTCTCACTGAGAAGGCTGCAGAAGTCCACTCACACACAAAACCATGCCTGCTTGTGTTTAGGCCACTTCCAGTAACACCGACTGATATGCAGCATCCCAGAGGGCTGGGAAACGGGCCTGGATGTCCACATGAAGAGTCAGCTCAAGACACACACGCGTATACAATGAACAAGGCAATCTGAATCATTCAGACTGCACAGCAGCTACAGATGTGCAGAATTTTGCAGGCATCAGTCAGGCTGGCCTCACCCAGATGTCCTCCATTGCAACACACACCACAAGGCTTCTCAGCTCCGCAGCAGCTTGGGAAACCCGCTCTCCACACCATCACGCAGTATCAAGTGCCCTCAAGGCCCAGCACTTGCTGCCAGCGCTGCCATCTAGTTCAGCAAAGGGAAAAAGCAGCCTGGATGCCAGGAGCCTGCACGTCCCCACGCGACGGACCGACAGCAACTGTCTCCTTGCACGTCACAGCTCCCCCGCACAGACAGCTGCAGAGCACAGACAACTTTGGGGAGTGCTGCTTTCTGTCTGAGACGCCCAGAGCTAGGTAGCCACCCAAGGGCCCCAGCCTGGGCAGGTGGACAGACTGCCCCAACAGCCATCAGTGCCAGGGCACCTCCTGCTGATGACCAGCACTGATACACTGGTTCATCACCCGATATGTGGCCAGGTTCTGCTCTCTAGCAAAGCGTGCAAAGCAGCATTCCGTCTGTCTGCCAGGCAGAGAATCATGGTGTGGAGATACTAAGCAGCTCTCCTACATCCAGTGGCACAGATGGGAGGTGAACCCAGACAGCCCCTCTGCTGCATCCAGAGCACAAAAACCCAAACTCAATTCTGCCAAGTGCATAAGCAGAGCCATCCAGGCCCAGGAGCAAACCCACACAACAGCATCTGGCTTTCTGTGCTGCAGCCTCTGGGCAGACCGACCGCCAGCTAGAAATGGAGAGATGCTCTACGGAGCTCCTGCTCTGGAGCATGGCCCAGGCAATGGAGTTCAGTCTCCACAAAGGAATTACTGATCATCAGAAAGAGAAATGCGTCACTGCCTCCTGCAGAGCACACCCATCATGAGGCTGCAGCCACAGCACTGCTCCATGCTCATATCATGCCTTTTCCCACCCCAACCCTCCCACACACAGACATGTTTGCTGTGAGCCTGTGCAAGCCTTTGGTCCCAGGAGTGCTCTGCAGCGAGACACTGTGTGAACTCACTCACCCCTGTAGGTGACCCTATGCCTGTTGCTTCCCATCACCCTACCTGTAGGCACAGAAGAATTAATTTCTATTTACTACCCAGTTTATGTTAACCAGTGCCCAAAAACTTCAGAGCCTTCCCCAGTGTCTTACCCATATTTCATCCTCCCAAACCCACCAGACCACTCCCCCACTCTAGATTTATCCCTCTCTGGCTACGATCCCACCTGGGCTCCAGGACGTGGTCAGCTCTGGAGCTCCTACTGCATTTCCCACAGCCTGCACCTGAAATCGCCCCTAAATGTCCAAAAAAGGACAGGGAGAGTCAATCTACAGACCCAGCCT